AAAAACACAACCAGAAATAAGTATTTGGTGTAGGTTTCCATTGGCTGAAAATTCATGTTAGGTGCAAGTTTTTATTGATCATAAGTTATCTTTTGGTTTATAAGCAATAAAAAGTATTTATTGGATGCCTTCTATTTGGCTACCACTGCCTATAGTTTCACAGGTGATTAATATTAATCCTCACAACAGCCTTGTGAGGTAGGAATTGGCCCCATTTGACAAAGCCCTGGCTGGGCAGGAGATTGTCACACGTTTCATTGGCAAAAGGATCTTAGAAGCAACATGATTCATCACATAGAGGTTCTTATTGGCTGGTGATTCACTGTTAAGAGCTCTCATTGGCCAGAAATGCCTATTAGTTTTGTTTTAATTCAAATGGCCAAAATTTTAGACTTATTTTTCCCCATGTAAGAGGGGACAACAGGTGGGGTAAAAACAAAGAGAAGAGATTTGGTGGGTTTCTCCCTTTGAAGCACCATTTCAGTTTGTCTAGTCATCTATACACAGATAGATGGGGATGAATCGGAGAGGAGAAGAGGGAATGTGGTTATAAATCTTCTCGCTTCCTCAGGATAAGCTTCCTCACAAGTTCTACGACGTGAGGCTTGATTTCCTCCACTGCCACAGTCGGGTCCCAAGCACCTACCACCTTTCCATCTGGGGCCACTAGGTACTTCCAGAAGTTCCAGGTGGGTTCCTTCCCAGAAGTCTCAGTCAGGTACTTGAAGGCAGGGTGGGCACCAGTGCCAATGACTGCAACCTTGCTGAACATGGGGAAAGAAACATTGTAGGTGCGGCGGGCAAAGCTCTCAATCTCCCTGTTGCTGTCTGGCTCCTGCTGGCCAAACTGGTTGCAGGGGAAGGCAAGCACATTGAAATGGTGGGGACCCAAGTCCTTCTGTAGCTGCTGCAGGGCTCGGTAGTGCTGTTCTGTGAAGCCACACTCGCTAGCCACGTTCACTGCCAGGGATACCGAGCCGCGGTACTTCTCCAGCGACACCAGCTTGCCCCGGATGTTGACCGCCTTGAAGTCGTAGAAGTCGCGCTCCCGCTGCGCGCAGGCCACGGCCCACAGCAGCAGCAGCCACGCCGCCGCCACGGCTACCGCCATCGCTTTCTCCATTTTTGTGAGGAATATTATTCATTTTTTAAATTGGGTCTGCTTAAATTTATATAGCAGTTTTAAAAGTATGGTGATTTTGACTATATTGGTATGTCACAGTGACTGGGATATCTTTCCATTTCCTAGTGTCCTCCTCAATCTCCTTTTGCAGAGTACAGTAATTTTTATTGTAGATGCCTTTAAAATCTTCAGGTGGTTAATTCCTAAGTACTTCATTTTTATTGATGCTATTGTGAAGAGCATTGTTTCCCTAACTGTCCTCCCTATGAGTTTGTGGATGCTTATAGTCTAAAGCCTTTGTTGCTAGCATCTCTATGCTCTGTGTCTCTTTACTTGCTGTTCACTATTGTACCTTGGGTGTGGCTGGCTGTAAAATTTTTCCAAGCCTCAAGATTGGACCACGTTGGTTATTTTGGCAAAGGAGGATGCAGTGTACTCAGTCCAGGAACCAAGTTCTCTGGCAGTGCACTGTACAGTCGTTAATGTCACAAAGGCCATCTTAGTGTGAGCTTACAGAGAAACTGACAATTATGATACCCTGTTAAGTGAAATAGCAACAAATTAGATATTAACATACCATAAGAAACAGTTACCGGGCCAGGGAGATAGCTCAGTAGAATAAGCACTTGCCTGGCAAACGCAAGGTCTTGAGTTCAATCCCTGGTACCGCAACAACAACAATAACCAAAAAAAAGAAAGAAAGAAAAGAAAAAATGTACAATTTTCTTAGGTTTTCGTAAATTTATTGGGAAAATAGTTTTTCCTGTACTGCTGAAGTTTC